ACAAGCGAGAAAAACCAGAATAAAAAATACAAGCATAATCTAATAACAGATAAAACAGAAATGTGATCATAGCTATGAATGCGTGAATAGTATGAATGAAATTTTTAAAATTTCCGATTTCTTTTTATGATGTTACTTTTTATAATTAGGATTTATATAAACATAATAAACATCTGTTTAAAACTAAGAACTTCATTTTATTTGATATTAGATTACTGAGAATAAGCATGAAAGACTTGCTGTCAAGAATTAGGTGTGAAAAACTTACATGTGTTCCTTAATTTTGTTAAGTAATATTGTGTCAGTAAGGACCTATAGATATTAAACTAAAAATCCTACATTCCTAGCATGGACCATTTCACTAGTTTACTGCCGTTAGCTTTTTACTGTCTCGTGTTCACAGATCTGCACAGTTTTTGAGAACAGATTCTGCGTAGAGGTATGAAGTGACTGTTGGAAGGATGGACTTCAAGTTGCTTATGTATGACCCTTAAGATAAAGAAGGGAAGAGATTTGTGCCTGTTACCGCTCAGCCACATTAAGTAATTTAATTTAGCCATAGTGGAAGAATAGTATCGTAAGGGATCCTGTAAGTTATGCTTTATGGATCACTGCTTTTTCTGTCCACTCCCTGAGGAAATAAAACAGCACATTTCCTAATTACTTAGATCTAATTGCATTCTTCTGTTAAACTCTTTTGATATCATGGGAAAGGGTGAGTCAGGAAACAGGAAGGAACTACACTTAGGACCCATAATAAACACTTCTGGGTGTGGTGGTGTGTTTGTATGTACTCCTAGGAAAATACAGTGTCTCATTTAATGAGATGACGCTGTCATGTAGGTTTTTATTGTTGTTGGTTCTAACCTATAAGACAAAATTTCCTGTGGCCGCTCCTGACTGTTTATAATTAAGGATCCTCCTGGTAGAGGACCATAAGTTAGAGAAGAAATACTGTTGCACCGGGAAGGTGAAACCCTGGTTGTAGTTACTTTGCATGAAATTGATTTATTAAAACTAACATTCCTAGCTGGGTGTGGTGGCTCATGCTTGTAATTCCAGTACCCTACAAGGCTGAGGCAGGAGAATCACCTGGGGAAATTTAGCAAGAACCTATCTCAAAATAAGAAATTAAAAAAAAAAAAAGGTTCGGTGTGAAGGCTCTGGGTTTAATCCTCAGTGCCAGAAAACAAAACAACCAAAAAATTAGCATTCCTAAACACATAGTATATACTTTGGCTTTTCATTGTTCCTGGGTAATAACACTGACTTAGTTAAAGAGCAGTTATTGGAAAAGATGACTGAAATGGAAATATTTCCATTGAAAATGTGAACATACATGTTTATAAATTATAAACTAACTTGTAAACACAAGGCCAACTTTTTTAAAGGGTGGTGTATTGTAAACTTCCGTAAATTCTCTTCCACCTTCATCACTTCAGACTTTTGGCAAATTTCCTAGTTGTGTGCTCCTAGCCATGCTTCCTTTCTGTGGGGCTCCCCCGCCCCTTCCTGTTTGGTGGCATCACTTTAGTCCACGTAGTTTAGTCCTGTGCTTCGCTGAAGGGCCCCAGAGATGAAGGTGAGTAGAGTTAAGTGCTGAGGCTCCAGAGACACACATCGTGAGGGTGCAGAAATGAGGGTACTGTGTTAAGTCCTTGCCTGCTGGCTAGCGGCAGGTCCTGCTGGGTAGAGGGAAAGGCAGGCCCTTCCATCAATTTTTGCCTGCCCCTGAGAGCGAGTCCCTCCTCAAATTTTCCATCCTAGGCTCTCTACTCCCCTCACCCTCATCTCAGCTCTCCTCAGCTGTGCAGCACTGGCTTAGCAAGTTAATCCGTTTTCTTTTCTCCAAAGGAGAAACAGTTCTAGTTTAGCCCAGAGACCCCAGAATGAAGGTCTTTAAATTGGTGCTTGTACACATGGCTTCACTGGCCAGTGCTATCATAGGTTTATACATGAATGTTGGAGCATAGCTGCTCTACAAAGATTCACAATATTTCTTACGCACAGAAAGTGATTTGATTTATGTATATATAATATTTGAGCAATTTAAGTACTGTGAAAAATGGTTTAGATCCGTAAATTTTAGCACGTGCTAGCCTGGGTAGCCCACAGGCTACCAGTTGTCCCTGTTGCCCTCAGTGGCGGTAGCTAGTCATCAGACATAGCACAAGAGGCCTATCTGAGATCAACCAGCCCTAACCAGCTTGCCAGCGACTGTAGCTCCTGTGTGAATGCACAAGCCTAGTGGGGATTTCTGACCAGGTCCTGCTCAACAGAACTGCCCAGTGCACCTGTAGACTCATGCGCAATAAGAAGTGGTAGCTATTTTAGTGACTGTGTTTTGTTTTTACAGCAATAGATAATTAAGTAATTATGACATAGTAATTTTTTTAAATGAATGTTTCTGCATTTTCCTCTAATTAGTAAGATTAGTATGGTTGAAGTATAAAAGACATTCAAAAAAACCCAGCTGGGCATTCTGGTGACACCTGTAATCCCAGGACTCGGGACGCTGAGGCAGGAAGATCACTGTGAGTTTGAAGTGAACCTGGGCTACATAATGAAATCAAGACCAGCCTGAACTGCATAGTGAGACCCTGTCTCAAAAAACCAAAAATGAAACAAACAAAGATCCAAATATCTGATGTATGATACCCTTTACATATGTACATACATGCCCGTGGATTAGCAAATGTAGAAAAAGTCCTGTGCCAGTTTAAAAGTAAAAGTCATTACAATATAATATTAAAGATTTTGATCTCAAGAAAGAGAACACTTTTTCTTTAATGAATACGTTTATAATAGTCTGGATGAAATAGCGCACTCTTTTAATCTGTTCATAATATAGGAATGGTTCGCACATAGGGTACTGCTGTAGTCAGAAGGGACCAAACTCTTCTAAGATACTCAGCTTGAGAGAACAGAGACTCTGTGTCCTAATAACTGCCCATTCAGACAGTCAACCAGCTTAGCATAGGAACGCTCGCAAAGTGCCACCTTGTTCTGGATGTGCTCATTCTTGAACATTTTCCATATCTTTGAAATGTAAAAAAATGATGCGATGGCCATGAAACCTCCCCAAGTCTCGTACTAAACCGGAGTGTCGTGAGCCACCCTTTGAGAATCAGTTACGCTCAGGACCTAGCTGTCAACATCAGCCAAGAGGTTACAAGTGTAATCATTTATTTACTATAATTAAGATGATCACACCAATATACTTAATTACAGTCATGTTAAAATGATAGTAAAGATGTTGAACTTCAAGCTCCATAATTTCTCAAATGCAGAAAATATTTGAAAGTGTGTTGAACTCTTCAGCATTCTGTTCAGTACAAAACAAAATACTATACTCTAATCGAATAGTAAAATAAAATACAGACAGCACACCAATATAAATAAGAACCTAACTATAAAGGCAATAATAAGCTACTTAGTACTTCATGTCAAATTCATATTAGTCTTCATATATAGTGGTCTTCCCTTATCTGCAAGTTCAATTTTTGTGATTTCAGTTACCCATAGTCAACTGATCAAGAATACTAAATGGGAAATTTCAGGAGTGAACAATGCATAGTTTTAAACTGGTCATCATTCTGAGTCACGTGATGAAAGCTACACCCTTCAGCTTTGTCCCGCTTGGTGTGTGCAGCATCCTTGTCCAGTGTATCCACACTGACATGCCACTTGCCTGCTGGTCACTTAGTAGCCGTTGAGGCGATCATATTGTCTGTTACAGGGTCACTAGGCTTGTGTTCAAGTAACCCTTACTTTCCTGAGTAATGACCCCAAGGTGCAAGAGTAATGATGCTGATAATTCAGATATACAAAAGCGAAGCTGTGAAGAGCTTCCTTTAAGTGAAAAGGTTTTTGACTTAATAAGAAAAGAAAAGATTGCATACTGGATTGCTAAACTCTAGAGTAAAAATGAATTTTCCACTTGTGCATTTATGAAGAAAAGAAAAGAAATTCATGCCAGAAGAAAGATGAGTATAGTCCAGTAACATATTTTGAGAGAACACTTTCGTATGCCTTTTATCACATTATGTTGTTATAATTGTTATATTTCACTAGTAGGTATTGTTAATTTCTTACTGTGCCTAAGTTAGAACATAAACATCACCACAGACTTGTATATATAGGCAGAACATGGCGCATTTAGGATTTGGTACTATTAGACAGCCAATGGGAGTCTTGAAATGTATCTCCGTTTAGGTACTTGCCTGATGTCAAATATGACATGAAACATCCAAAATTACTTTGAAGAATTGTTAAATATTTCTAAAACATGAAAATTAAACTAGTTAACCCATTTGGAAATCTGGCACTTAAGTTCTAAATCCCACATCTAAGGTGTCTCCCATAAAGGCACCTGTCATTACAACATTAATATTTAAATCCTCAACATTAAGTTCCCAGATCAACTCAAAGTACTTGAAATAATCAAAATAGTAAAACTAAAATATTCATTATTCCCTTTAAAAAATTCTTTATTTTCTCTAATTATAGAAACTTGTAAGGCTGGGAATATAGCTCAGTGGCATAAGTGCCTGCCTGGCAAGCACAAGGTCATGAGTTCAATTCCCGGTACCAAAAAAACAAAAAACACAAACAAACAAAAAAACATTCTGGAAAACTTGTAAATCTTTAGAAAGCATCTTGTATCATTCCTAGACCACCCTTTTAGAATTGGGTCTGGAAGATTTAGAGTTGGTGTCTGTGAATCTGTTTTTCATCAGCATCTGTTGCAGGCGTATCAATGCAGATGGTTTGCCTGTTACCCAGAGCTGCTCTGTAAAGTGTCTTAGGGGAGAAGGGACAGAGAAAAGCACCTACCTTGATTTCTAAGAGAGCAGCTTCTCTTTATTAATTTCAGGGCTTCTTTGAAGAAAATTTCTGAAATTAGATTTGAAAACTGTCACCTGACATGATCACATATCAAGTAGAAGTTCTAGGATCACTTGAAGATATCCAATGATTAATATCGTAAATGTCACTCATGTGTTTTTTTGGTGATTCTAGCTTTTAAGGACATTCTCACAGTTTTCTCACTTTCGTCACCTCTACCTGAGTGGAACAGATTAAACGTGTAAGAGGAATTAAAACCTTTCTACAAAGTTGCGGTATTTTGTAAATTTATATTAGACAGAAAAGCTCAGAAAAATATTTAAAATAGAACCAGTTTAAAAATGATTCATATTATTTCTATGTGATATGAAGTCAAGTGATTTAAAGTCATGTATTTTTATTTTTGATATATGCATTTTAAAGTTGTCTTATAATTACTTATATAATAGAACAAGGGCAAAACTTCAGGATATTATGCTTTTTTAAATTTTTAAAAAATTTTTTTGGAAACATATGTAAATTTTCTTATTTATTATTGCCTCTTACCTGCTTGGTAAAAAAAATGCCAGAAGTGAAGGAACCTTTTCCTGTTATATTCCCTTCTCTGTACTGCTAGATCTTTTAAAAGCCGCACATAGTATCTATATAAAATTTCATATATTTACTTCATTTATCATCTAAAAAACATTTAATCCACAAGATAGAGCTGCAGCTTGTTTGTAGTGCCTCAAAGGTGTAGTGCCACAAAGGTGTGTGGGCTGAGGTGGAAGCAAAGGGCGAACGCTGGCCTCTGGAGGTGGGCGTGGAGAAGCCGCGGACCTGAGCCCTCCGGCTGCTCCACTTGGTCTCTGCCTGAGGATCCGGGACAGACCTGGCCCCAGGCCCGCTTCTAGCTTCAGATTTAGGGCTCAGTCTGATGACGATGACTCCCAGGTTTTGCTTTCCTGAGATTTCCCTGTGGCCCTTTGTACATCCTTATACTAAATCCTGTATCTTAGGCAACTGAAAGGGTACACTTGTTCCTTGCAAGTAAAACAACTTGAACAATATTCATTATAGAAAATGTGGAAAACACAGAAAATCTGGAAAAATACAAAAGAAAAAGTCTTCTCTAATGTCACACCTCATTTCCTTCCATTATTTTTCAGTGTTTATATTATAAACACTGTTAAAACTATAATCTTATAACTTTTTCAGTGTGTTGAGTTCTGTAATTTTTTTTTCTAGTGCAGACGAAAATTAAAGCCAAGTGAAATGAAAATAATTGGAGGAGCAGTTTAGTAAATATGTCTTTTTATAATCTGAATTTTGAACAGATTTAGATCCATTATAAAAAAGGACAGCAGAGAATGTGCTTCTAAGCTGATGAGAAAACCAGTGCCATTTATATAGGTTTTTACACTCTCCCTCGTGCTCCTCAGATCTTATACATTTGTAAAAGTTTGAATGAAAATTTGTTTGTAGGGAGAACTCAGCCCCATTGCCAGGCCAAGGCCTTTTGTCACCTTGATAAAGTCCCTTTAGGCTTGCACAAGCAGAAACTCAGTCTTGATTGGGTTTAGGGGTGCAGAGTTACACTTGAGGTTCACGGATGTATTACGTACCACCTCATTACTCTATAATGAGAACTAAGTAGCCGAGTGGTGGACTGGATACTTCCTTCTAGTCTCCCAGTAGGGAAGCAAGTTTATCAGAAGCTCAGTTGGTACTGGGACAATCAAAACAATGAGAAATGATGCTGAGATTCAAATGGATGAAGCATTCTCATTTTTGGTTGATGTCTGCTTCATCTTCCTTGCATTGTTGCTTCCACCCAGAGCTAGAATTCCTGAATTCCATCCTTCTTAATGTCCCTCTCTTCTCATTCAGATGCATTGGAGGTACTTCTGCTGTGTCCCCACTCTTGTTTCCTATTTCTTGGTTAAATGACAATTTCGGAAATATACTGAGTCAGCTCAAAGACCATCCACCTCTGGGGATACTGAAGAATTAGATCTATCAGGAGAAGTCCTCCCTGTGGTCATGCAGGTTGAAAGATTTCCTTTTCAGACTGAGAGGAAAGAGGGGCCCCCCAGAGTTGTTGGCTACTGTCTTTCACAGCCATTGTCATCAGATGTTCCCTCTGACAATAGAGAGGACTATGCCTTTCTTACATTACTGACTGCTGCCTTATCCTCGGCTACCACACAGATCTTGTTCAGAGGAAAGAGTGCTACGATTAGTTAAGTATGGTGGTACCTGGCTGTAATCCTAGCATTCTGGGAGCTGAGGCAGGAGGATTGTAGCCTGGTCAATTTGGCGACTTAGAGTCTGTCTGAAAAATAAAAAAAAGAATTTAAAAAGGTCAGGGGTGTAGCTCACTCAGTGTGAAGGGCTTAGGTTCAGTCCCTAGTAGTGTCCCCTCCAAATTGCTAAGAGTGATTTGTATTCTCCATGGGAGAGGACACATGATATTACTAAGTATTTACTAGTGCTAGACAGGACAAGCCTCAAGAGCAGACTGATTCTGTTATAAACTTGAGCTGTACTTTTTTGTTTGTTTGTTTGTTTGTTTTGAGATAGGGTCTTGGTAGCCCAGGCAGGCCTGAAACTCACATTGATCATCCTGCCTCAGCCTCTCAAATGCTGGGATTATAGGCACGTGCCACTGCCCTTGGCTGAGCAATATTTTTAGTCTGATTTTCTACCTGGGCACAGTGACACATGTCTGTAATCTCAGCGGCTCAGGAGGCTGGGGCAGGAAGATTGCAAATTTGAGGCCAGTCTGAGCAATTTAGCAAGACAGTCTCAAAGAATAAAAAGAGATCTAGATATAGCTCAATGGTAGAGTCCCCCTGTGTTCAATTCCCAATACCACACTCCCACGAAAGTCTATAATTTTCTTTTTAACATAAGAAAGAAAAATTAATTTTTAGATTTTTTATGAATCATGCTGCACCTTGTGAGGAAAATATAATTGCTATTTTGGAGTTGTAGGATTAGCTAAATATCTTTCATATAAACGTACCAATTGTTCTGTCAAAAGATTTTAGTGTGAGAGACCTATTGTAAACCTTGTAGGTTTTTCTGCTTGGGCTTTCCAGCACTCCCTTTTTTCTGGCTTGATGTAAATGAATAGAAGAAAAAATTACTTGGGGCTAAGTTTTGTTACATACTTGGGAATGCTTACTATAGAAAGTTTAATCCATAAAAAGATCAAACACTTTGAGGCAGTTTTAGGGATGCCTTGGTTTGAAAAGTGTAGTCTACTTCCCAAGGCAACGAAGAAATCTTCAGCTGGTGATTGTTAGCTCTGCGAACTCATTCACCAAAGATTTCCTTGAAATGTGAACTCCCTAGTACAGTCATAAAACACTCAGTTTTCAGATAAATTGTTGGTTCAGTATTTGTTATAAGGAGCAAACCACCTATACTAGATTTATTAAAATTTAAATTAGAGCTGTTGAAGCATTATCATTATACATTTAGGTTCCTGTGCTCTTAAAGATGCTTCTTTTTTCTGTGAGTGTACAGAAGCATATTTCTGTTCATTGCTTTCTTTTTAAATTTTTTGCCATCCCCTTCTTCCCATTATTTCGTCAGCATTTATAATACCAGCTAGTCCTTGAAGGAATGTAAAACATAATACTTAGAAAATCGTTTATACTCATCTGACCACTTTTCATCTGTAGCAGTCAGGCTTGTTAGAAAGAGTTCTTGGATTTCAGAGTTTGTTAATTTCACTTTATTCAGTCACTCAATACATATTTAAACGCATCCTACGTGAAGCTGAGTGGCTAGATTCTGGGGCTAGGGCGGGAAGCAGAACCTGTGATCCTTGCTCTTGAGGAACTTGGAGACAGACAGGTGGGGGAGACAGGACTCAGCCTGGGCAGTTAGAGGGTGTTTCTTTTAAAAAGGTGAGCAGAAAGCTGAAAAATGAGTTAGAGTCAGGCAGCACGGAGTGGGGGTGGGCACTGTTCCAAGATGCCCTGTGAGGGAGCGTGGTATTTTTGAAAAATTGCACTATAAAAAGAGATTGGGGGGCTTCGAGGGTGAGTATCCAACTTCAGGGTTATATTTCAGAACAGAGAAGGGCCAGACCCTGGAGAACCTTGGAGTCCGTGTTAAGGATTTTGGTCCTGAGAGCAGTAAGAATTTACTGAAAGAATGTGACTACAGTAAATTTGCGTTGAAAAAGTTCATTTCGCTGAGTGAGGTGGTGCACACCTGTAATTCCAGCACTCTGGAGGCTGAGGCAGAAGGATTGCTGTGTGGGGTACATAGCAAGACCCCCCCCCCCGCACACATTTATTTTAATTTGACGGCTTTGTAGTAATTGTTGCCGCCTGATCATAAGTAAGCGTCCTGTGGAGGTGGTGATGGTAGTAGTAATACTTAACTACCACTTACTTTGCATTTGTGTGTATGTGGAGGGTTACTTTGGAGCATAGCTACACTATAAATATATTTACAGCAATTCTTATAATGAGATAGTATTAGCTTCATTTTATAGATGACAAAATTGATGCAGTTAAGCTGAGCTGTGAACTCAGCCTAGGTATCTGTGGAGCCAACTGTTTCACGGATACTAGGAATTCGCTAAAAGAGTTGTTCAGTTTTGCATGTGGATAGATTCTTTAAAGATCGTTTAATAAAATACTTGCGCTTCTCTGAGTTGGGTCATTTTGATTTTCCAAACTGAATTGAAAAAAAAAAAAAGCATCTCTTAATAGCCACTAGAGGGAGCTAGAAAGACTGCAATTTTAATAAGCTTTGAAGTTCTCTAAGTCATCTTCATCTGTAAGCAATTCTGATAAGCTCCATGCATGACTGGTTAGAATGAGGGCTTCTGTCAGGTGGGTGGTGCTTCGACTCCCAGAGTCTATGAGATGTGGGGGGCAAGTATTCCCTCCGCAGAAGATACAACTTGTAAGTCCATGGGCAGCGATGTAACAAGCCTCTTCCAAAGACGGAATGGTAAATATGAACAATAATATAATCTGCCGTCTGTCCTCTTCATCACAAAAGTTAACTTTTTTCCCTCTTGCATTCAAAATATATTTCTTCGTCAAGGAAATACTTCAAGAATTTCCTTCAGTCACATTAGTTTTGAAATCTCAACTTCATTAAAATTACTGCATGTCATACATATCCGTGATACAGAGATCAGGGAACTAAAAGACTAGTTAATGCTCTGTGTGTCCTTTCCTGTAACACACCGTGGTGGTCACTCAGCACTGGGATGAGCACATTACACACTGCAGTTAGGAAAGGGGAAGAAGGGAGGCAGGGGCAGTCACGGGGCCCGAGGAACTGCAAAGGTCTTGCTGGGTGAAAGGGAATGAGGGCTCCTTGCCGGGCACCAGGGGGTGTCCTTGATCACCTCCCCAGTTTGTGTCCCCTGTGAGCTGTTTCCTTTAATAGGTGGTTCTTGCCCGCATTTGAACAGAGTACTGGGGATATGCACTTCCTGGCTGAGGAATGGAGTAAGGGCTGAGGAGCTTTCTCAGCCTGCTTCTTGCCTGTGGGAAATGAGAGTCCTGAAGATGATCTAAAGGAGCAATAGTTCTTAACTCAGGCTGTGTAGGCGTGGTGTTTGGTTGTTTGTTATCTTTTTATCTGTCTGCTTTCTGCCAAAGCTGTTTGTCAGTAGTTCTATCTTCACGTCTTTAGGATGTGAATTTTCCTCCAGATGTCCACACAGGTATGTTGGACTTACGGGGCTTCTCTGGGGCTGCATGCCTGGTCCCTTCCCTTGTGCGTGGGGTTCCTCTCCACGCCAGTCTGTTGCACTGAGAAGGTTTACCAGGGACAGCATCAGGTCAGGAGTCTTAAACAGAGTGATGGCTCTGCTTCTGACTTGGTCTTTGCTTTGAGTTTATGTCTTACGTGGCCTTGGACAACACTTCTCTGCTTGTTGAGGTGGGAAATAGCTGCAGGTCTCTCCCTTGCAAGCCCCAGATTTTCAAGGTTCTTTTTTCCTGTGTATCCTTGCTTACAAGTAAGTCTTGTTTCTGAGTTCATCTTTCCAGTTCTGCTTTATCACATTTAATGAATGACAGCTTTTATTTTGCAGTCTTTTTACCAAGTTGTCCAACTTTTTATATATGACAGTTTTATTTACCACTGCATTATGTGGTTTGCCATTTCTCCAATCTCTAAAAGCAGTTTCCTTGCTGTCTGCCACCTACCTCCACAGCTGACATCACATATTTTTATTATTTTTGGTGGAGGTTATTGTTAATGTAGCAGCCCATTTCTGATAACGATTTCTGCAGTGTTCAGCTTTGTTATAATAATTACCTCCAAATTCCAGTGGCTTTTCAAAATAAAAACCCAATATTTCCTACTGACTTTGTGTGTGGACTGGGTGAGCTCCAGTTGTATTTCAAATGATGGCTGTGTTCTGGACCTTTTCTCACTGGGGACGCTGGATGAAGGAGCAGCCCTCACGTTGAGATATGCCTGTTGTTTAGCAGAGGACTGAAGTGAGAAGGCTGGCCCCAACTCAGACCGCTGCTCAGTGCCTTTGCTTACACGTGATGTTTGGCACATCTGGTACCATTGTATTAGCCAAATATGTCATGTGGATGTTCCCCAAATTAATAACCTGGAGATGTCTACTCCTTACATATGTAGAAGTGTGACAAAACAGAGCACAACCTTTTTAAAAGTTAAGGGCATATTGCTTTAATATACTGTGTAGCAATCAGTGTTTGCCAGGGAAATAGAACTAATAGGATACGTATATGTATATGTGTATGTGTATATGCACACATATGTAAATACCATATACACAAGTACAGAGATAGATTCATTTACTTTAAGGCACTGGCCTATGTGACTATAGGGGGTAAAATACCTGAAATTTGTAGAGCAAGCTGGGGACTCGGGATTTCTGTGTGATAGTCTTGGGGCACAGTTACTTCTCTGGGAATTCCCACATTTGCCCTTAGGCCCTCACAGGACTGACCGGAGCCTACATTACAGAGAGGGAGTCCTTTACTTCAGGCAACTAACGTTAAATATTAATCACATCTACACAGTATCTTCTCAGCAACAGAGGCTCGTGTGTGACCAAGCACGTCGGCTCAGCCATGGTACCAAGCGTTTTCAGCAACAGAATTTAGCCATCATGTTTACCAGGTGTGATCAGCAAATACGGTAAATGTTTACATTTTTAAAATATTTCAGTAAAAGACACATTGCCATTAATTCCCCTCAAGATATATCTACTTGCCTCAAAAATACTTATCCTGTCATGATTGCCACTCTGTAGAGCAGATCTTTAAGTCCTTTTTCATGAGGGTCTTTAGTTACGCTCTTATGGCT